CCAAAACTGAGGCCCACAACCAAAAGATTCATAAAGGCCCATTAATGGCCCATTTTTTCAAATTGGGCCCAACAGCATATGGGCCTTATCCCAAGACCATAATTTTCCTTATTACAATTCAGGTTACCTTAAGTACCCCTTGGGACAAACTTGTTCAAAGACATAAATCGAAAGTCAAAGTCAACGGTCCAAGTTGACCCAACTCGCCGAGTTGTCCTTTAATTCGTCGGGTTTCTCCATCAACTGCACATATCGGGAAAAACCAAGCCAACTCGCCGAGTTGACCAACAAACTCGCCGAGTTCCTCTATCAATCTGAAAATGTCAGGGAAAACCGAGCCAATTCGCCGAGTTTATCCATAAACTCGCCGATTTCGCCAGAAACCCACATCTTAATACATTAAGCACTTAATCCATAAGGACATGACTCCAAAACATAGATCTGACTTCCTTGAGCTGGAAAACCACGTAAAGTTGCCAACTTTATGTTCACGCATGTCTAATTGAAGCTCTTAAGCTTAGAACGGACTTAATAATTGACTTAATGCATGCATGACACCAAAATCCTCATAAAGTTTGCATCTTTAAGCTCAATGGTACCAAAACCAACTCATATCTGAAAGAATAACCCCTTAAATGACTTCACCCCCATCATTATCCCCAAAAAGAGGCCAAAATACAACAAAACCCAAAATGATGAGATCTAATCATCTACAGATCAAGGTATGAACTTGATACCTTAAAGTGACTGTAAGAAATGGAGTGATTCTGGATCCAAGACTTCCTTCTCCAAGCTAGAAACTTCAAGACCTTCTAATTCCTTCACAATGCACAAAATGAACACCAAACTTCCTTCCAAGGCTCAAAAACTTGACAATGGAGGCTACAATTCGATTTAGGGTTTTGATAACAATGGAGGCTGATAAGGAGGCCATAAAATGGACTTAAGGCCTTTAAATAGGGTGCAAGACCCTAAAAATTAGGGTTTCCTTCCCAGCTGCCAACTCGTCGAGTTGAGGCTCCTCAACTCGTCGAGTTGGTTCATTTAAATTCCCGCGATTCTTCCATCTTCAACGCGTCGGGTTGGTCCCTCTAACTCGACGGGTTGACCTAGAAATAGGGTTATTCTCAACAATTTATCTTCAAGATTTCGGATGTTACAAGAACACGATAAACCTTTGACCTGGAGGAATACCCTAGGAAGATGGCTTCATCTGACGTCGGTTAAAATTTGGTCAGCTAATCTCGGTTGTTCTTGATAAAATACATGCATCCAAAAATATGTAAGAAAGAAATACTAGGTTTTCTACTGTTCATGGCTTCATACAGAGTCATGTTGAGACGTTGATTGATGATACTTCGGTTCTGAGTGAAACAGGCATTGCTCATAGCTTCGGCCTAGAGATACAGGGGAAGATTTGCGAAATTTAACATCAACCTAGCAGCTTCAACACCAAAGTTCGATTCCTTCTTTCGACGACACCATTTGGGTGAGGAGTGTAAGGAGCCAAGAGGTTGTGGTCAATCCATTTGTCTACCAGAAAATTCGATCGTTGCGTTGATAAACTCGGTTTCATTATCGCTTCGAATTCTTCGGACAGGCAGTTTGGTGAGTACTTCAATTCCCTTGATAAAATTGATGAGCTCGGAAGTAGTGTCAGATTTCAACTGAAGGAAGAAAACCCAAGTAAATTAAGTATAATCATCAACTATCACCAAAATAGTATCCGAACAAAGTGATGTTTCGATTAAGAAGTCTTTTCAAGATCCAAGCTTTTCTAATGAAGTTAGTGTTCAGAACGTGCATGCTTCCGAAGTTCAGAGAACTCACTAAAGAAGTATAGTTTTGTTTTATCTGTTGTTTTGAGGCTAGGAAATAGGATCGATGTAATCTTGTGTCAGTGTACTACACTATTAGACTAGTTGCTTTCAATTGTAATTACATTTGTTTCCTAGTACATTGTCTTTACCTATAAAAAGGGCAAGTCAATCTTATGTTTAAGAACACCTTTTAGACACCTTTCATGTACTCTTCTTTCAGTGAAAAGTTATCAAATCATCTTATCAAAAACATTTTCATTGTTCTTGCATTTACTTTTCTAAGTCTTATTCTTATTTTATCTTATCATGCATTGAATACGGCTTGGTTTATCATCCAAGGTTTGATTGGATTTACTCCAGACTTGACTTGAACATAATAAGTGCCTCCATTGTTGTTTATTCGAGGTATAAGTTATTATACCTTGTCTGAATTGTATTTAGGATATTCAATTCTTATCATCAACGGGTAGAAAGAATTCCATGATGTCGATTTTTAGCTTCCATGTAAGTAGGAATCTGTAAGTACAAATCTGCTCTAATTAGGAAGAGACTTTCCCCTGCGATTTTCTTCATTTTTGAGGTCCCAAATCACTTCCAAAGTTTTTCCAAACCCGTTTTCTTCCATTACCTTCCAAATCAAACGCTTCAAATCATAAACTTTAACATCTTTCAACCATTTAAGATCATCATTTCGTTGGATCATTATCTTTCACAAGTTTAACAATTGCATGACTTCATCTTTTCAAGGTTCGTTTGTTTCAAGCTTCATAGATTATCAAACATGTTTGTTAGTTGATTTTACATTGGATATGATAAGATTTGTGAATTTTGTGTGTTTTATTAATGAGATTGAAGGCTAAACTCATTTAAATTACTTTTGGGATGTTGTAGGATGCCAGGATGGACATATCTTGATTATTACTTTTATTCCAACTAATTTCAATTATTGTTTTGTTCATCCAGTAATCATTTGCAAACAACAAACGGAGTTGTGTTTCACTTATGTGTTCGCTACTAAAACTAAGATAATGTATTGTCATTTTACTAGTCATTCCGAGTTCAAGTAGTGTAGGAATTAAGACGACCGGTTGAATCAACATACACTATTATAAACCGGTAGTCTTAGTATTTAACATTGGAATAGGTAATCGTAACTCTTAAGACGCAATATTGTCACGCCACTCGTTTTTTCTAATCCAAGTAGACATGGAGCAAGAGAATTAGTTAGCTCAACACACTATGTGCCCAAAATTATATATTGCGTGTTAATTAAGTTTATCTATGTCTATGTAGTTAAGTTGGAATTTAAGGGAAGATAAAACATGAAAATCCAAACAACAACTGAACTAGAAGTAATATTGTTTGTCTCGTTGATAATCTTTTGTTTTTAGTAATTCATGCAACATAAAGTTCTTAGCTCTTTATTCAATTGTTAGTTTGGATCTATTTCATCACAATTGTAATTAGTAGTTTCTTAGTTGTTATTTCAACACAGATTTTCGTCACAAACTCACTATATATTCGACCCAACTTACCTTCGCTGCCTAGGTGTGTGATTGGTTACTTTTAATCATATTGACGACAGTCGATCACAAACCAAGCATATATTGACCAAGTTTTTTATACTCATGCCCTTAGAAAAATATAGACATAATTGTTCAACAAATTAGTTTGAGTGAAAATTTGGCGTACTTATTTACAAAGGAACTTCCAACTGCAACGTTTAAGAAATATGGTCACAATATTGGATTGCGTCGACTCAATGATCTAAATTAACCAAGTCGTCATGGGGAGAAAATCTGTTACACTTTTTTTTTCCTACGACCTGATTTTGTCCCATTAGGTATTACTCGCTAAGTTTTTAATAAGGCAACATCACTATGAGTATTTTGAATGATATACAGTCAATGAGAATAAAAACATTCTTCTCATTATGTCTATTTAGGCTAGTTGATCTTTGTTTTAAAATAAAAATGATATAAAACACTGAATGTGCATCGTTGAAAGTGTTTCTTTTAGATTGATATAGAACTTCGAATATGTGTAATTATATATTTTACCTTTTAATAATATTATATGGTTGCATTTGTAAGAAAAAGAATAAGATACTCTTGATTGACGAAATTATTTACCGAATAAGTTCTGAAAGAACATTGAGCTTTTATAAATAAATAAATAAAAAGTTCCAAATATTAAGCAAAATAGGTTAGTGTGTTAGGTAATACGTAGCACGTATGAGAACATTTAAAAGCATTTCATAATAATATTAATGTAAAAGGGCCAACATAAATATATAAAATCAACGATTTTGATAGAAATAGTCGAGAAACAAAGTTTGTGGCTTGGTGTTTTAAACTTAAAAGATACGATGGTTCCTGGTTGAAGAACACATTGTGTGTGTGTCCATAAACCAATTTCAAAATCCCAAAAAGGAAAATCAAAACCCAAAAAAAAATAATAATAAATAAATAAATCATGCATATGGAAATCTGAGTTCTTGAGTTCTTGAACATTTGGGTTCATCTTCGGGTTTATGAGTAATTTATTGTGTAATATATGTATTTGACTAGATTTTTGATATTTTACCTATATGGCCACTAAGAAAAAAAAAACAAGGTATTCCGAACAAAGTGATGATATATAATGGGTTTTTTTTACTCATTCGTACCAATACCTTCTGAAAACTCTACCGTAGGGCTAAACATATGGACCGAATAATATAATTGAACCGAACCAATGAAAGTGAAGATGATACAATGGTAATCGTGGAAGAGATTTATATCCGACTTTGATGATTGAAGGTTATTCACAAATAGTTAAAAAGTATAACTAAGAAGATCCATTAGAGAGATAGGAAATGCAATTTCAGATTGTTATATTTTGTATCACAAAGAACAAGAGTGTTTAAAAGAGATGATCAATTCATCGTTTGTGAGGTATGAAAAGTTCAAACTCTCAAGAAGTTTGGAATCTAGTTGAGTTTACTAGAGTTGCAATGCAAAAGGATATAAAAAGCCATAGCGTTGCAGAATACTGACTTTTAGCATCAAAGCGGATGAAATTGATGATATAGTAGAAGCAAAGATGAAATCAAAATTCTCATAGCATTAAAGAGCAGAAAGCAACTGAAGTTTAAACTATATCAAAAAACTAACAAAAATCCTCACCTGAATATATAAATCAATCCTGAGGAATCTCAACATCTCCGTCAGCAATTTCCTGCTGTAAATCCTTGGGATCTTTTCCATCGACAGTACAGCCAACAGAAACACAAGTTCCGAGGATCTCCTTCACAGTTCCTTGCAATTCCTTAGCCATGGACCTAGGGCGCATAACCTTCGCGATCTCGATCACGTCATCGAGTGAAATATTCCCGCTGTGCTTAATGTTTTTCACCTTTTTACGGTCACGTTCAGGCTCCTTCAGCGCCTTGATTACCAGAGCGGCGGCGGAAGGAACCACGGAGACCTTAGCCTGACGGTTCTGTACGGTGAGCTTGACTGTGACTCTAAGACCCTTCCAGTCCTTCGCCGTTTCCTTGGCTATGTCTTCTCCGATCTTCTTCGGAGAGAGACCGAGTGGCCCGATCTTCGGAGCGAGAGAACTCGCTGCTCCAACCTCACCACCGGTGACGCGGACGTAAACATCGACGACTTGTGACGGATCAAACTTTGGCGGCATCTTCGCGGAGTAAGACTAGGGTTATGGCAAGAGCGAGCGAGGCGACTTCGGCATGAAAATTAGGATTACAGGAAGGACATAAGATTTAGGGTTTTGCAGACTGGCCTGAAAAGTTCATTTCACACTTCATGGGCTTTAAGATTTTGGTAATTACTTAGGCCCATTTACCTATACAGCTTTGCCTACATTGGTTGGTCCCGGATTGGTCGCAGGTCACATCGGGTTTTTTAGGGTTGGTCTCGAACGGTTCGGTTCTTTTTCAGACCGTTTGCGGGCCAGTCTTTTTCCAGACCGGTCTCAGCCTTTTTCAGTTCGGACTCGTGCTCTTTCCATACGTCTTTTTTCAGTCGGTTTTAGGGTTTTTTCGGTTCGATTCTAGTAATTTTTAGTTTTTTGGTGGTTTTGAGCTTTTCGTTAACAAATATATGATTAAGGTTTGTTAAAAAAAAGGAACACTTAAATTTTAATAAAAGAAAAAAAAAGTTACATAATGTTTTATTAAAAATTATGTAATTAATACAAAAATGATATGTTTATAAAATTTGGCTACCGGTATTGAGACCGATCTTGTGTCGATCTCTGAACAGTCCGGTCTTTTTGGGGATTGGTCTTTTGAACGGTCCGGTGTTTTTCAAACCGCTGACGGGCATCGATCGACAAATTATAGAACATAGCCTTCATATCACACCAGGGAGCAACCTTGTTAAACAAAAGAAAAGGGGCCAGGTAGCAGACCGGAACAGGGCTATAAACGCAGAAGTGGTTGACCTGGTGAATGTTGGCATACTCTGGGAGGTCATGTTTCTGACGTGGATAAAAAATCATGTCATGGTGAAGAAAGCCAATGGATCGTGGCGAATGTGCATTGATTATTCAGATCTTAATAACGCATGCCCAAAGGATTGTTACCCTCTCCCGGAGATCGATCAGAAAGTCCAGTCGCTTGAAGGTTTTCGGCTCAAATGTTTTTTTGACGCGTACAAGGGTTACACCAGGTACAGATGAAACGAGAAGATGAGGCGAAAACAGCCTTCCATAGAAAAAAGGACACCTTCTGCTACCAGAAAATGCCATTTGGGCTCAAAAATGCGGGCGCTACTTATCAAAGGCTAATGGACAAGGTATTCGCCGATCAAATTGGTAGGAATATCGAAGGCTACGTCGACGATATGGTAATCAAGTGCCGCGATGAGGAAACATTACTCCAAGATGTGGAAGAAACCTTCAGAACACTAGTTAAAGCGCAGATGAAGTTAAACCCAGCTAAGTGAACCTTTGGAGTCGAGGAAGGGAAATTCCTTGGGTATCAGGTATCCAAATAAGGGTTCTCCCAATCCCACTAAAATACAGGAGTTCCTCGAATCAAGCCCCCCCAAACTCAAAGGGGTACAGGAGATCAGCGCGGTAGGGTGACAGCGTTGGGAAGGTTCATTGCCAAATCTACAGAGAAAACACTTCCTCTGTACCAGACACTCAAAGGATGTTTAGACAAAAAGCAGTTTAAATGGACAGAAGAAGCAGATGCGACATTGCAAAAACTGAAAGACGCCCTACAACAAACTCCCGACTCTCGCCTGCCCACTCCCATGGGAGACACTACAGATGTACTTAGCAGCATCTGAAGAGGCCATCTCCTCTGTGCTAGCAGTGGAGAGAGAGAAGGCAAGTAGATCCCCATTCATTTCGTTAGTAGGGCCCTGCAAGGGCCAGAAGTCAATTACCCGGCCTTGGAAAAGTTGGTCCTAGCCCTGGTTTACGCAGTCAGGCGACTACGGAGATACTTCCAAGCCCACAAGGTGGAAGTTCTGACTAGTTACCCGATAAAGCAAGTGCTACTAAGGCCAGAAAAGTTTGGGCGCCTGGCCAAATGGGCCATAGAGTTGGGTGAACACGACATTCAATACCACCCCAGAACCAGCATCAAAGCCCAGGCTCTTGCAGATTTCCTGGTCGAAATCCCAGATACCATCAAGGGAGTACCAACGATAATCTCCACCGATCCACTCGAGCCCGAAGTCGGTAAGGAACTCTGGAATTTGTACACCGATGGCGCGTCATGTAAGGAAGGCTCAGGCGCAGGCCCGATCCTTCAAAGCCCCAAAGGCGAAGAGATCACTTACGCATTGCGATTCGACTTTCAAGTATCCAACAACGAGGCAGAGTACGAAGCACTCCTAGCAAGTATGAGGCTCGCTAAGGAGGTTGGCGCAAAGCAACTAGCAGCCCTCAGCAATTCACTGCTTATCACAAACCAGATAAATGGAACGTACGAGACTAAAGACTCAAGGATACAGAAATACCTAGACGCAGTCCGAAGTCTAACCAGCACGTTCAAAAGCTTTTCCATAAAACAAATCTCCCAGGGAAAATAATGCAAGGTCGGACGCTCTCAGCAAGTTAGCTTCAACTTTCTATGATCACTTAACAAAGAAAGTGTTAGTCGAAGTGCTCCCGGAGAGAAGTATCGATAAACAAAAGGTCGATACAGTATCGACTGCACCAGAATGGACCAAACCGTATGTTGATTACTTGCGCCATGGCGTGCTAGCAGATGACCCTGAGGAGGCAAGAAAAGTCAAGATCAGGGTGTCACATTTTGCAATCAGGGATAACCAACTATACCGAAGAGGGTATCTCAGTCCATGGCTAAAGTGCATCTCCAAGGAAGAGGGGCAGACATTCCTAGAAGAAAGTCATTCGGGGGATGCGACGACACATGAAGGCGCTCGAGAACTCACAGGCAAAATACTCCGCCTAGGGGTATATTGGCTACACGTGTACAACGACGATGCAGACCTAACCAAGAAATGCAAGGAATGCCAGGCATTCGCCCCATTCCAAAATCAACTGGCCATGTCGTTGACCAGCATCACCAGCCCCTGGCCCTTCCACCAATGGGGGATTGACATAGTGGGACCTTTCCCACCAGCGCCAGGGGGTGTGAAATTTTTGCTAGTGGTTGTGGATTATTTCACAAAGTGGATAGAAGCAGAACCACTAGCCACCGTCACTGGCAACAAATGATAAAATTCATGACCAAGAACATATTGGCCCCTTTTGGCACACCTAGAATCCTCATAAGCGATAACGACACACAATTCGAAGGAAGTCCTTTCAAAGAGTGGTGCGAAGACAAAAAAATTCATCGTCGGTTCACGTCAGTGGCGCACCCTCAGGCCAATGGCAAAACCGAAATATCAAACAAAACCATAGTTAATGGTTTGAAGAAAAGGCTACTCAGGTCAAAGTCCGTATTGGTGGATGAACTCCCGACAGTGTTGTGGTCCTATCGTACCACAACAAGGTCAAGCACAGGAGAAACGCCATTTAGCCTAACATACGGGATGGAGGCGGTCCTCCCATTGGAAATACTGGCCGACTCCCTACGAACAGAGAGTTTCGAGGAAGCAGCCAACGAAGAAGGGCGACGTCAGGACCTGGACATGCTCGACGAAAAACGTGAGCCGGCATGGTTGCGCCATGTCACACCCCGAACCAGACGGCGGAAACGTCTGGGGCTTGTGTGTGACTTCATCTTGAAATATCATTACAATGAATATAAATGAAACGTAACATCATCATCACCACGCTTAATATGATACAGCTGTCATTGTTCACCTCAAGTACACATTTTAAATTACATGCCCATAACATTCAAATTAAGATGTTTAACGGTACACAAAACAAAATCCATATTCTTGTTGGTTCCTCCGCTTACCGAGTTCCTGAGAATACAAGTTATTTTGAAAACGGCCAACATAACAATGTTGGTGAGTTCATAAGAGTATTTTAAATGAAAAGTTTTGTATAGATAGTACAACACCAGAAAATCCGATATTTTCTGCAAAAGAGTTTGAAAATGATGTATCAAATCAAGTATTAATGCATGTGTGGTTTCCATTATAGAAAATATGTAGGAATAAGTTCCCAAAACTCATGTTTGTTGTAAATTGAAGGCAGTGCGCAATGTATATTTTCCCCCAGAAAATCCGATATTTTCTGATTATAAAAGTAATGTAGTCTTAAAACCCTAAGACCAAGTATTAGTGTGTGTGTACGTTTTGTGTCGCCGCGATTTGTATTTGTATTCCGTAATATTCTGATGGTATTGATCTCTATGTGAGCCGTTACAACCATGCTTAATAATGACTAGTTCGCCTGTCATAGCGTGTCAGACGCCGGTTTGTCGAATGTAAGGTTTGTCGCCCTAGACTGGCCTAGTCTAGCTGTAGCGAACAGCTCAGGTGTGGGGTGTCACCCCGTATAGATCTATACACAAACTCCCGCTCTCCCTCCAGGAGACTCTGGTTATAACTACATGCTACGATCATACAATCGGAGGTGTCAACCGACAAGTCTCACTAGATCCTCAACTTGTTCACGACCAATGTATTACAAGTATATTGTCTTACACTGTATAATGTTTTACGTGTATGTTTTAAGTTTTCAAATCCAAAGTATGTATTCAAATGTACGAGACCCAGTAACAGGTATATGGGCCACCAAGGCCCAATAACGTATAATGAATAATTCAGGCCTAATTAGCATGTATATGGGCCACTAAGGCCCAATTAACCATGAAATGCTTAATTTTAGCCCAAAAAGCATGTATATGGGTCACTAAGACCCCATAGACATGAAATGAACATATTAGGCCCAACAAACATGTATATGGGCCACTAAGGCCCAAATGAACATGTAATGGATATATTAGGCCCATTATTTCGAAATTTACATTTATGGCCCAAATGTATATAAAATGTTATTTTCGACCATTTTTTATAGAGATTGACACTTTTGACCCAAAAATATATAAATGTTATTTTCAGCCCATTGTTGTAAGGATTGGCATTTTTAGTCATTTTTAAATAAAAGGACATATTTGACTAAAGTTTTATAAATATGACATTTTGGCCCATGATTATAAAAATTTACATTTTTATCTCACTTTTCATAAAACTTACGCTTTTGGCCCAAACTTTGGAAAAATTTTATTTTTA